TTTGACCCCTATGCGCCACACCTTAACCGACCTCAATTGGGACCAAAATTTATATGTGATAGTAATCAATTAATTTTTTTCGTCTAATTGAGTCGGTTAAGACGTGTCGCAAAGGGGTCAAAGGCCTGATGCCTCTATGGACTCAAAAAATTAAAATGATGTTTTTTCATTTAAAAGCCAAAATTGATACTACTAAAGCCGAGGATATCAAACATAAATTTTGGTCCTGATTGGAGTCGGTTACGACGTCTTCATAGGGTAATCTAAACTTTGACCCCTATGCGCCACACCTTAACCCACCTCAATCGAGACTAAAATTTATATGTGATATCTTCGATTATGGTAGTATCGATTTTGGGTATTAGATGAAAAAAACAAAATAATTTTAATTTTTTAAGTCTCCATAGAGGAATCTGAACTTTGCGACCCGCATTAACCGTCTCCAATCGGAACCAAAATGTATATGTAATATCTTCGACGTAGGGGTTAAGGCTTTGGAAATTTGATGTAAAAATTAGCTTCCTATATTTAAGGACCACCCTTATGAATATAGAAAAGCGAAAGATTTTATGTCACATGTAAATAGCCACATATATATGTATATACAAACACAAATACTTATCTACATATATAACAACTTAACTAGTTTTTATGAGCACACAAAAGTCGCCTAATTTTTTTCTCCTTTTTGTTTAGTTTTTCAACTTTTTATGGTAGTATATTTCCATATCCCATTGCTACTGCGTGTAGACAGATATCCATTTCAATTAATACAAACTACATACAAGTACGCTAGAACCATATGACTGGTCATTGTTGTTATTGCTATTTGTGAGAAAATATATGAACACACTTTTAAATTGAATAATTACGCTTTGGGTGCTTGAGCTACATATGTACATACATATACGATGTGGTAGCGACGGCGCTACACGGCGTAAAATGCAAAGAAACAACAGCAATGCCGACGACGGTGCTGCCTAATCTTTCAAGGCATATGTAGATAGTTTAGATTTGAGGATAATTTTTGACACAAAAAACACCGAACTCTTTGTCTGTGCCAGACTTGCTTTTATCTTAGATCGGTTACGAGGCGATCGTCTTCATGGTTGGGTGGTGGATACAGTGAGCAAATGTGGCAGCAAGCTCGTCAAATTTAGCTTGATTTATTCGTATTGGCAGGTGATGTCTTCTTATTTACATATGTCCAAACAAACTTACTTACATATATGTACATACATAGTTACTTGCATACATACATAATTACATAGACATTAGATCGTACCAGAAAAAAAA